TATATATATATATATGGTCCACTTAGCCTTTGCCCCCTCACTTTTTTGTCTATGCTAGAGTTCTTTTCACCAAACTTCGTTAAAGAGTTACGATATACAAATAACATAATATGATTGGTCAAGCGCTAACATTCATCAGAATAAAGCGAAACATACTAGTAGGCTTCACATGAAGTAATGGACAAATTATTTTTCTCTGGCTCAAATCAAGTTTTTTTTTCTAATCTCAAAATTATAGTTATGCATATCTTTACACTATAGTTATCTATGCATACAATAAAATAAAGAGTTTGTGTGTGTTTTTGTGTCTGTATAACTGACTGAGGGTAAATTGTAAGCACTCAAAATACGACATTCGACATGAAATTGAATGATTACATTTGAAAACAAATTACGAAGCCCTATTTTCAATTTTTAATTATATTTTTATATCAGAGACATTTAAAAAGTAGAATTTTCTCATTGGTTTAGCGGAAGCCATTGTTTTAAATTATTTATTATATTAATTATTATTTTTATAATTAAGCAGTTTAATAAACATCATCAACAATATTAACAATATATGAACTTTGGTGTAATTATATGTCTTTCGGAGGGAAAAAGAAACACGAAACGTAATGCAATAAAATATTGGTACCATGCAGAAAATTGTTGCAATTCAGCCTACAGAACTTTGAAGCTGATTATTCACCAATTTTAATTAATGATACTGATTTTTCATCGCTTTGATTTATTTGTTGTTTTAAATTGTTGTTTTTATTTTTCTTAGAATAAATTTGGAGTATCATATTTTAAGTATTTCTTCCCTATGTCTATTAATCTTGTAGAATTGTTTTCTTTTATGACTGAATTATTCAGTTTTTTTGTAGAAAGGCAAACTAGTTTTTTACTTTGGTGTTCAATAACAATTCCATTAAATTTTTTTATGATTTATTGATGCATTATTGAATAGAAAAGTACCCTTTGTATTTTTGAGTGTGAATTGAACATAAAAATCTGGATTGGAAGGCTAAGTATCTTATGAAATGAGCTGTTACCCGCGGCTTTGCCCTCACAGATGTATTACTTAGATTTCAATTTTAACTATATTCAAGCATATCTACAGTATTGTCGAAATTCTCTACAGATTGAATTTTAAAGATAATTTAAAATTCACATATACACTAGTTGGAAATCCATTGCTTCTTAACAAATTTTAAAAAAGTTTGTTTATTTGTTTTCTAGCCAAATAAATATTACTACAAATTCTTTTAATTTTATTTATTTGATTAAAACTAGCATTTAAATAAATATTTTTAGAAACATTAGCATTCCATGTAATTAGTTTATTTTTATGTATTAAACTTAAAATTATTCATTTCATCGTTTATTTCTACGATGCATATAAATTCTTCTCTTTTTTTAATACTTATATCCAAAAAATTAAAACTAATACCATCGTCATGATTATGAAGCGTGATTAATTCCTCAGGGTAAATATTGTTTTACAAAATTGCAGAATTTGGAAAATTGAAGGTAATTAAATCATAAATAAATCTAAAAACAAATTTAGCATTTAGAGTATAATTCTTTTTTTAAAAGTGTAAAAATAAGTTAGCCAGAAGTGAGGAAAAATTAGATCCTTGTGGTACTCCATCTATTTCAGTAAAAAATGCTTTCCATTATAAAGATAATTATTATAAAGACATATATTAATTACAGTTTCCCAATAATCAAAATCGCAATTAAGAATATTTTTATAATCATAACAATAACCCAAAG